GTGTGTGTGTGTGTGTGTATGTGTGTGTGTATATATATATGTGTGTGTGTGTGTGTGTGTGTGTGTGTGTGTGTGTGTGTGTGTGTGCCTGGGCAGTGACGATGCTGTCCTGAGACCCGACGTTGCCGCTGTCCTTTTTCTAGGCGCACATTTGGCACGAGGGCTTTGGAAGGACGGCTCTCAGTCAGGCCTGACCTGTGTTAGAAGGATGGGGTGGGGAACAGAGACGTTATCATGTGTGTGTGTGTGTGTGTGTGTGTGTGTGTGTGTGCTCGGGCAGTGACGACGCTGTCCTCAGACCCGATGTTCCCACTGTCCTTTTTCTAGGCGCACATTTGGCACGGGGGCTTTGAAAGGACGGCTCTGAAAGGACAGCTCTCAGCCGGTCAGGCCTGACCTGTGTTAGAAGGACGGGGTGGGGAACGGAGACGTTATCATGTGCGTCTTCGGCTCTGAAAACGAACTTTTCTAGGAGCAGAGCAGGGGGAGGTGACAGGATCCCACCCAAGAGAGACAGCAGGTCATGGCCTTGACCTCTGTTTGCGGCTCTGACTGGGGACAGCGCTCAGCCTCCTACACTGACTCCTTTGGGGTCGTCCTCTCCGGGTCCCCGTCGGCCTGCTGCCTCATCCTTGGCGGGAGGTCCCAGGTCTCTCAGAGCTAATTCTGGGCCAGTGGTGCGTTCTCAGAGGGAGAGCATCTGCTTCACGTGGAAATGTCCAGGCGTTAGTCGTGGAGGAGTGTCCGTTCAGCCCACACCCACCTTCAGGAAGGCCACTCTTTTTCTGTGGGAGGCTTTCCTGCCGGAGCGGGAATGTTCTCAGCGGGGTGTCACTGAGCACGCACTCCGCACTCCGAAGGCCCTGCAACATGGCGATGGCGTATTTTGGACCCGTGGCCTTGTTCTGTCTGCACCACATGCTCTGGCTGTGAGGCTGGACCATCTTAGAGGAAACTGCTGTGAGCTCAGGTGGCTGGGAATCTGGGAAGAGATTATGGGGAACCTTCCCTGTAGGTTTCACTGTTTCCTTGTTTCCTTCCGTTTATTTCACTTCAGGTGCTGATGGCAACTTTGCAAAGTTTATCATCTCAAAGGTTTTATAATTTGATAATGGGATTTGAATGAATAGAAGGATAAACAGACACCGCCTATTTCCCTGTCATAGTGTCTATGTAAGAAACGTCCAAATATGCAGAGAATTTTTATGAGTTTATTTGAGCCAAACTGACAACATATGGGGGGAGGAAGATCTCAAATGCTCAGGAGAATAAGCTTCATTTATGCGTTTGAAATGAAGGAGGGGAAAGAAGAAAGGTGACCTGGAGGTGGGAAAAGCAAGGCGGGGACTGGGTTACAGGATAGTGAACAGATTATGCGCTCTCTGGAGGGGGCAGGGATTGGTCCACAGGTGTGTTAACCTAAATGCGCAGAGACAATGGGCGGGGCTTGCCTAAGGCAAAGGTATGCCTGGGGAGTGGCTTCCCACCCTGAATGGCCCAGGCAGGAATTTATGATCAAAACACCCTGTGAGGTCACTTTCCAGAATCCCTTTTCCCCCAGTCACAATAGTTAGTGCAATTCTGAAAATAAGAGGCGCTAAGGGGCTTTGTGGGCACTCAGGCGGATGAGCCGGCCTGGTGGCTGGATCCCATTCTGTGATCAAAGGCAGCAATGAACCACAGGACAGCAGCAGCCTGGACTAGACAGCAGGCCCACTCCTCTATGAAATGACCTATAAAATCTCTGCCCTCCCCGCCCCCACCCTGCTCCAGCCACACTGGGCCCTTCACTGTGCTACTCTCTATGAGATGCAAGCCTCTTCCTTCCCCTGCCTTTGCTCTGCTGGTCCCAGGGCCCGCAGGGCCCTCCCCCTACCTTTGCCATTGTTCTGGTTTCCATGTAGCTGTCCCTGAGGATGCCTGCACGGAGCAGCCTCGGAAACCTTTCCCCTTCACTCTGTCCATCATCTGCTTTCCTGTTCTCTGTAGCTCTTACCTTCTCTTGCTTGCTTATTGTTTGTCTCCCCAGTAGGGCCCCTGTCTGGCTCCTTCTTGAAAAAATATCCCCAACGCCTGGTACAGTGGTTGACACACAGTAGGTACTTAGGAAGTACTTAGTGAAGGAGCTATATTCAAATTGTGCAATTTATCCTCTGACGTATACTCATAGGTGAGTAGAAAATCTCTCAGAAGGAATGAATCCCATTCTGATATGAGTGCGTTAGGGCCTTGCAAATCCCATCAGAACAAGCAAGCAGGAAGGATACATTCCTACCAGATAATACAGAATTACGTTGGTTTTTCTCTTTATTTATTTATTTATTTTTAATTTTTTTTTATTTTTTAATATATATTTTTATTGATTTCAGAGGGAAAGGGAGAGGAAGAGAGAGAGAGAAACATCAATGATGAGAGAGAATCATTGATCGGCTGCCTCCTGCATGTCCCCCACTGGGGATCGAGCCCAGAACCTGGGCATGCGCCCTTGACCAGAATCGAACCTGGGACCTTTCAGCCTGCAGCCCACTGAACCAAACCAGCTAGGGCTGAATCTCTCCTTCTTCGAAGCCAGTGGTGGCAGCGAATGGCAGTGGGGTCTGGACCTGGTGGTGTGAGTAGAGGAAGTGAGATCTAGAATTACTATGTTCTTCTGGAAAATATTGTGGAATAATGTCTGGTGACCACATCAGTCAGCTAAAAAGTCCAGCTTCTAAATAGGCAGTATTGCCCTCAAATATGTCTGAGTATAATCGTCTATTTATTGTTCTTCCTCCTACAAATGCCATAAATTTGATGGGTTTTGTGTTACCATTGTTTTAATTTATTTTTATTGATTTCAGAGTGGAAGGGAGAGAGAGATGGAAATATCAATGATGAGAGAGAATCATTGATTGGCTGCCTCTTTCACACCCCCCACTGGGGATCGAGCCCGCAACCCAGGCATGTGCCCTTGGCCAGAATCGAACCTGGGGCCCCTTCAGTCCGCAGGCTGACGCTCTTTCCACTGAGTCAAACCAGCTAGGGCCATTTTTTAAAAAATATGGTTTCCCATCTAAATGGAGCCGCTTTGGTATTATTGAGACCACACTGAAGCAGCTGCCACTCCGCCCTGGTCAGGGTTTTCCTGTGTGTGGATGACTCTTGATTTCTGTCTCATTAAAACAGGGAGCAGCGCAAGAGAAGGAGGATAGCGACGGTGACCCAGCTGCCACCCAGAGGCCCGGTGTCCAGGACTGGCTGGCCCAAGCTCGCTCCACATGGGCCCTCCAGCGACAGAGCAGCCTCCAGCAACAAAAAGTAAAGCATTTATTTCCTAACCTCTCCCTAGCCTGCAAGTGTGCCAACACTCCCCAGAGAGAAACGCTTACAGCGGTTCTCAACCTGTGGGTCGCGACCCCTTTTGAGGTAGAACGACCCTTTCACAGGGTCGCCTAAGACCATCCTGCATATCAGATATTTACATTACAATTCATAACAGTAGCAACATTACAGTTATGAAGTAGCAACGAAAATAATTTTATGGTTGGCTCACAACATGAGGATCTGTATTTAAAGGGCCAGAAGGTTGAGAACCACTGGCTTAGAAGAACAAGTTTCTTGTGTTCTAAAGACAGAATGCACCTTTGTCTGCTCTTCGCAGAGCCCCGGCTAAATGGTTCAGCATATTTCCTCGTGACCACGGGAATGCTTGGCCATTTTCCTGTGGTTTTGTTTGTTTATTTGTTTTCTTATTTTCTATTTTTGTGCTTGGTCATTTTAAAGTCTATTCTTTTAAGCAAAGCTTTACAAATAACGTAACAATTAAAATATGCCTTATCGAGATTATCTGCTCTATTTTCAAACTTACCCCAATTTCAGGCTATTTTATATAATAAAAACCTCAGGAAGGCCTCTGAGAATTGGTGAAAGTCTGAGTTACATGTTTTTTAAATAAATGTAATTTATTTTCTACTTTCGAGTAGATATCTTTACAAAGTTGGATTGCAAATTATTGCCTAGTAAAAAATAATGAGCTTTGATGAATAAGAATGATTCCTCATTGATACCTTAACTTTAGGAATCGGGCACATTAAGTTATTTTTTCAAAGAGCAAAGGCATTTATCACTAAATATGAAAAAGTAAAACTGAATTCAATGATAAACAAACTTATCAAGTAAGCAGGGAATTAAAGAACAGCTGCTCTCAAGGACCGGTCTCAGCTGGGAAAAAGGCAGTATTCATTTTGAAAATTGAAAGTTCATGTTGTACCACTTGAGGGCACCATTGCCCAACAAAATGTTAATTTTCCATTGATTTTTTTTTTTTTCCCTCCATGATTTTTCAGGTCTGTTTTCTCAAAGCCACAAAAGCTGTAGAGTAGTTTGGAGAGATGCGTGAGCCTTTCCCTCCACCACACCTCTTATGCAACGTGCAAACTTAAACATGTACGCACGCGTTCTCTGAGGCTGTTGTAGACTTAGAACCATGATTGCAGATGATGCTCATGAACTCAAAAGCTGTGTTTGTTTGTTCTCTTCCTGGAGCAGGAGTTGGAGCAGGAGTTGGCAGAGCAGAAGAGCCTTCTCCGGTCAGTAGCCAGCCGTGGAGAGGAGATCCTCACCCAGCACTCGGCGGCAGACACCTCTGGTGGTGCTGGGTAGGTTTCCACTCGCGCTTTCTATTCTGGTCACTGATTCCATAACATCTGAAGAAATGCAAGCATCCCGATCAAACTTTTATTTTAAACACTTGCAAACACCTGCATTATTTTTTCTCTTTAGGATATATAGTTTACTTGCATTTTGAATATTTTATTGTGTGGCATGAGTACAGCTAGGGAGTGTGAGGGCTAACTTATTTGTCTTCTTTCCAGTATGCTCAGCATATCTGTTCAGAGAAGATACATGAGTTTGTTTTTTAAAAATCAAATGGGGGGGGGGGAAATAAAATAAACATTATAAAGTTATGTTTCTTTCTGAATATCTAACTGCAAAACATTTTCCCTGTAAGAACCTATCTTCCCTCAACCTCATTCTGCCTACGAAAGATGTCGCTTTTTCTCGAGGATCTGTTTTTATAATTGCTGCATGCAAGCTCATTGAGCTTCGTATCCTGTTGTAGAGTGGAGAAGGAAAGTCTTAAACACAGAAGAGTAAAGTATGAGAAGAAAAATGAAGGAAGTTGGACAATGTTCAAGTTGAAGACTTGAGTCTGAGGGTTGGGAAGGAAAGTAGAGAGGAATGATCCCTCTGTTTTGAGTGAGGTCTGGGTTTTATTCTAGTTCAACTGCTGGCACCATGGAAAAGTAACTCAGCTCTGAGGCCTGGTTTGCTCCTCTGGGGAATGAGAATAAGAAGGGACTGTCTGCTTCACAGAGGGGTTGTGGAAGCTGTGACTGTCACAAATCAAACCTGCATTTATTTATTTTTTTAACATTTTTTAATTGATTTCAGAGATGAAGGGAGAGAGAGAGAGAGAGAGAGAGAGAGAGAGAGAATTGCTGCTGTTAGAACGAGGCATCCTGTGTGTGGCATTCCTATCGAGGGCTCAGGATATGATGATTTGGCTGCCTCCTGCACACCTCACACTGAGGATCTAGCCCGCAACTCGGGCACATGCCCTGATCGGGAATCAAACTGTGACCTCCTGGTTCCTAAGTGGACACTCAAGCACTGAGCCATGCCGGCTGGGCTAGTGTGCATTTATTTTTAATGTTTGTAAATTAGTTGACGTTGAATATTATATTAGTATCAGGTTTACAGTATATGGTGCAGGGATTTTAAAATTCAGCTCTGTGTCACCCTAAGAGCCACAGTCATCCTCAGATGCACACTGCTGCCTGTCCTGAAGGATGAGGCGCAGGTGCCCTCCTCTCGTGTCCTGCACCCTAATCCACGTCCTGAAACCTGGCCTTGGACTCAGGGTAAAAACTCGCAGAGACCAAGTAGCATTTTTATGGTTTTTAATTAATTTGTGGGCTATTTGTCAAAGAATACGCATCCATATACTTTCTGATCCCCAAAGATACAATTATTTTTATCTTTAATGTTGAGCTATTTTCAATGTATTTTTAAATTATCATTGTGGCCCTGGTTGCATTATCATATATTTGTTTATGGTTAGACTCACATTTTTTAAAATTTTAATTAATTTTTTTAAGTGTAAGCTAATAACCAAAGTAATCTGGTTCTAATTTTAGAGGCCACAGCTCGTGCATGCAATAAGTGATCACCTTTCTGCCCACATTGTAAACTTGGATTGTTTATTCTTCTAATAGTGAAAAACCTGCTGTGTCATCCCAGGAGTTGGGGATGGAAGGAGAGCAGGCCCCGGCGGAAGGCCAGATGCGGGTGAAGTGGGAGAGCCTCCAGCAGGAAGTCAGTGCCAAGCAGCGGCTGCTGCGGGACGCCCTGGCGCAGGAACAGGAGCAAGTGGTACCGCACGTTCTCTCTTACATATTCACTCTCGTAGAGGATGCCCAGCGCGGCTGAGACAGTGTAACTGTGCAGTCCTCTATATTTTCATTGCCAATGCAAAATAAGGCAGGAAACAAATGATTCTTCCTACATGTTTCCTAACAAGCCCATTTCACATCTGCCCTAGTGATGACATGTTTATATGTGACAATTTGATTTCTAGGTACCACTTTTCCTCAGAGATAATCCATATCTAATTACTCATTAGCATAAATCATTACATTGTGTCTCCCCCTTTTGTACGACTTTGAAAATTAGGGATGTAAATTAGGGATGCATATACGTCTAGGATAAAAGAAATTCCAAAAATCTGGAACTAAATTGTCAAGTCATCTTATTTTTCCTCACTACTTCTAGTATTTAATAGTTTCAGAAGACATTAATGAGACATTACTGCAGCGGTTCTCAACCTGTGGGTCGCGACCCCTTTGGCGGTCAAACGACCCTTTCACAGGGGTCGCCTAAGACCCTCCTGCATATCAGATATTTGCATTATGATTCATAACAGTAGCAACATTACAGTTATGAAGTAGCAACGAAAATAATTTTATGGTGGGTCACAACATGAGGAACTGTCTTTAAAGGGCCAGAAGATTGAGAACCACTGCGCTATTGGGACCTCGGTGGTTCTAAAAGGCAGGGGCAGCCAGTGGTCAGCTGGAGTTGCTCCTGTGACCCAGGTGCAGGCTGGTTTGCAAGATGAGTAGGTGCTGAGTGGTGTTGGACTTGACCCAGTCAAGCAAGCCACACCCAGTGGAATTGAAGATAGCAACAGAAGGTTCCAGAGAAATAGCTGTTAGTGTGCTCCAAGCAGAAGCCAGAGGGTCTGAGGAATGGGCACCTTGGAGAGCTAGCGAGTGAGGCTAGAACCCAGGCAAGCCTGCGGTGCTCCCCACAGCCATGGCCGGCAGGCTTTCGACAATGGAAACTAGTCCTGTGTCCTGGGCTAGCACTCACAGGGGCCGTTCCGCAGCAGTGGCATGAACGGAGTAAACTCTAAGACTTCTCTTTGGATCTGAGGAACCTGGACACAGTGCTCTTATGTAAGCCGCCCCTGTTTGTCTGCAGCTTTTCAGCAGGCCAAACCGGCTCCTGGCTGGCGTGCCCCTGTACAAAGGAGACGGGCTGGCCCACGATAAATCGGCAGTGACGTCCTTGCTCGATGGGTTGAACCAGGCCTTGGAGGAGGTCTCATCCCAGGTAAGGCTGCGCTCTGAGTTTGCTCATGGGTCTTGGTCTTCGTGAGGTTTCCCACCTCTGGGCATGAACTCTTGAGACCCAACCCTAGTGAATAGCTCTGAATGACCCTAAACTCCAAAGACTCATCCTGGTGATTTTCTTTGATTTCTCAAAACGCTGTAATGAATTCCTTTTTCCAGGGCGGAGGGACAAAGAGGCAGAACATTCACTTGGAGCAGAAGTTATATGATGGAGTCTCGGCGACCTCTACGTGGCTGGATGATGTTGAAGAGCGTTTACTTTTTGCCACGGCCCTCACACCAGAGGAAACTGAGATTTGCCTCTTCAGCCAAGAGGTAAGTTTGCCAGCCTGTGCCTGTGAGTACACGGCATTGCACAGCACTTGACTTCCCAGGGGGTAAAGACCTGATTTGTATGTAGATTCCTGGGTCTAAACACTCTCATGGTCTTCTTTTTGATCAACCCTAGACTCTTGCCAAAGATATTAAGGAAATGTCTGAAGAGATGGATAGGAACAAGAACTTGTTTTCCCAAGCATTTCCGGAGAACAGTGATCACCGCGATGTTATTGAAGACACTTTGGGGTGTCTTTTGGGGCGGTTGTCCTTGTTAGACTCAGTAGTAAATCAACGATGTCATCAGATGAAGGAAAGACTTCAGCAAATACTAAATTTCCAGGTAAGACATTGTCAAGAGTTGTTTGCCCATCCTCCATGCACAGAGTTATTAGTTCGCTCTAAGCCGAAGCCAGAGAGGGGGTCATAAACAGAATATCTGACTGAGGTATGATATACCTAGGCCTATTTTTTTCTTCAAATGAACAAAGAGGAGCAAGAACATCACAGAAAAACTAGGGCAGGGGTTCTCAACCTTCCTAACGCTGCGGCCCTTTAATACAGGTCCTCATGTTGTGGTGACCCCCAACCATAAAATTATTTTCGTTGCTACTTCATAACTGTAACTTTGCTACTGTTATGAATCGTAATGTAAATATCTGATATGCAGGATGTGTTTTCATTGTTTGCGACCCACAGGTTGAGAACCGCTGAACTAGGGGATTGAACTCGTATTAGAAAACTGACTTTTATTCTCCCAGAAATGGAACTTGAGAAAACCATCTAACTACACTAAGGGCCAAATAGGAATTTAAACTCAACCAATAAAAGTCATATTTATGGCACAGTATAATTCCAATTTCCAGTTGATAATAGTAGCGTTTAAAACATATAACCAAAAAAACATGCAGGCAGGGCTGTAATACAGAGCGAAGCCTGGACCCCAATACCCAGGCCCATTGCAAGTGACTGTGGCCTAATTAGTTCCACCTGCGCTCAAACATATTGCATTACTTCCCAGTCCTCGCTCCTCAGGCTGACTGCCTATTAGCCCAGACTGGAGACTGTTCCAACTGAATAACTGTGTGCTTATGAAACTTTTCCTATGACTATAAATTTTAACAAATGCAAAAGTAGCCGATAACCGTTTAATGTTGATTTTCATTCCTAATAAAAAGTCACCTTTGGGAATACGTAAGTTTTAACTGAATTTTATTTTTAACAGACATACAAGTTTTACAAAATGGATATCTGTGATTAGGGCCAAGAGTTTTATGTAAAAGTTTTGATTTAAAAAAATACTGTAAAATGTTAAATAAATGTAGCATTAGCCAAGACACAAGGAATTTTCTGTGTATACATCTAGAGCAAGCATGTCAAACTCACGGCCAGTGGGCCACATGCCTCACTTAATTGAGGCATGTGGCCCACTGGCTGTTAGTTTGACATGCTTGATCATTCTAGACCAGCGGTTCTCAACCTGTGGGTCGCGACCCCTTTGGGGCTCGAACGACCCTTTCACAGGGGTCACCTAAGACCACGGAAAACACATATATAATTACATATTGTTTTTGTGATTAATCACTATGCTTTAATTATGTTCCATTTGTAACAATGAAATTGGGCGTCACCACAACATGAGGAACTGTATTAAAGGGTCGCGGCATGAGGAAGGTTGAGAACCACTGTTCTAGAGGGACAAATGACCACTGCCTTCAGGTAATTTACATTCTTAAAACTACAAAGTAAAATTACCACAAACATTTGTGTATCATTTTTTTATTCACAAAATATTTTCACATGTATTCTTGTCTTTAATTTTCACATCTCTAGTAGCTAACCATTGTTCTAATATTCATTTTGCAAAGTCAAAAGAGCAAAAATTAAGAACAAAGTCTCCAGCCCAGCTGGTGTGGCTCAGTGGATTGAGCTTCGCCCCAAGGACCAAGAGGTCCTGGGTTCAATTCTCAGACAGGGCACATGCCAGGGTTGTGGGCTCCATCCCCAGTAGGGGGTGTGCAAGAGTCAGCCAATCAATGTGTCTCTCTCATTGATGTTTCTAACTCTCTCCCTTCCTTTGTGAAATCAATAAAACATATTAAAAAATAATAATAAAACCATCTCCGGCCTGGCCAGCATGGCTCAGTGGTTGAGCACTGACTTATGAAGTAGGAGGTCACTTTTCGATTCCCGGTCAGGGCACATGCCTAGGTTTGGGCTCAATCCCCAGTGTTGGGTATGTAGGAGGCAGCCGATCAATGATTCTTTCTCATCATTGATGTTTCTATCTCTCTCTCCCTCTCCCTTCCTCTCTGAAATCAATAAAAATATATTTTTAAAGAAAGAAATAAAGAACAAAGTCTCCAAAGCCAGCCCCCCTGAGTTCATGCAGCTCTCATCTCCTCGGCCCCCTTATTCACTGGACATGTCTTTCTGGTTTTGTTTTTTTCTAAATATATTTTTATTGATTTGAGGGAGGGAGGGAGAGGGAGAGAGATAGAAACATCAATGATGAGAGAGACTCATTGATCGGCTGACTCCTGCACGCCCCCTACTGGGGATCAAGCCCACAACTCAGGCATGTGCCCTTGACCAGAATCAAACCTGTGACCCTGCAGTCCACAGGCCAACGCTCTATCCACTGAACCAAACCAGCTAGGGCTAGCCTGACATTTTGTGTGGTGCTGCTCCCACACGGCCTGAAAGTTGATTTTTCTTCCTTGCTGTGATTGTCCTTCTCCTGATGAGATGGCCAGAATTTTTCATCTTGGTGACGGGCACTTGCCCCCAGTGAAGAGGATGTGACCAAACTTCACCCTGTGACGGACACCCAGCCCATCAGACACATTTGCCGACCAATAAGGAATTTGCTGATTTTGGGGGAGGGGAAGGGCAGGATTAAAACATTTTATCATTCGCACTTTGTTCCAGTTTATTCCCTTTAGAATTGAATACCAAAATTCTGATAGTTATCTCATTGTTGTACAACTCTAACTCAATATAAATACTTGAACTTTTTTATTGATTGATTTTTTTTTTTGAGGGAGGGGGCTAGAAAGGGGTGGGGAAGGATTGAACCAGAACCTTGGCTATCAGGACGCTGCTCTAACCAACTGAGCTACCGGCCAGGGCATATTTGGACTTTTAAGTGAGTAATGTTTGTGGACAAAAGACGTGGCTAAGGTCTTTCGGTGTTTTCTCTTAATGTCTTTGGTCATCATGAAAATAGTTCTTTTCTAAACTTCTGGATGGCTTTTGATAAGCTTGTGCACATTCTTTGAAACTAGGGAAAAGCAGGAAGTGAGGGAGAGAGAGAAGCAGAGGAGAGAGGAAGAAAGGAACCATATTGTTCTTAAGAATTTTATTTTCTTCCCAGATCAGGGTAACATCAATAGGTTGTTTTACTAGATAGAAGTCATTAGTGTAATATTTCTGCTGGAATGTTTAAATGTGCACATTTATTTCAGACATAACAAGAAGTTTAGGGTGGCCAGTATGGCTTTTTTATTTGTATGTCTTGCCTCCTTGTATATTGTGTTGGAAATGGTTTGTGTAAAGATTATTCAAAAGTCAAATTTAGCATTTAAAGTAAATTGTTACCAGTTTCTTCTATCTTCCCCTAGTACAGTATTGGTTTCTTGGACATAAAATTCCCACACCTGTATATTATTTCTAAGAGCATGTGTTATGTTTATAACCATTTGAGTCCCCGGTGCACATGTTAAGTCTTCCTATTTCTCACCCCCTAGAACGATCTGAAGGTGCTGTGTACGTCGCTGGCTGACAGCAAATACATGCTTCTGCAGAAACTGGCCAATGTGTTTGAACAGCCCGTGGCGGAGCAAATAGAGGTATTTACAGCTGCCTTTTCCCAGTTGAGCGGATTTACTGTGAAATGTCAAATCCTCTGCGAAAGATTACTGGCTTACTGTGGCATTGATGTTTGTCTCCTGTTTTGTTTGTGAGAGCTGGATTTGAATCACCGGCCAGGTTACACTGACTCTCTCACTTGGGCTTGCACGGAACTGGGAAATGTGAGCTGGGGAAAGGTGTCAGTGACCGCTGCTGACCTGGAGAAGTGTGTCCCCTAACAGGGAGATTAGGTGTGAATGTCAGTGACCTGGGCAGGAAGTCAGGCTGCCCCAGTGGCGGCACAGAGGAGCACTGTGGACATTCGGAAGAGGGGTAGGTTGCCTCCAGAGGGGTAAGGTCAGGGAAGAGTCGACAAAGGGAAATCAGAATTGGACTTAGGAGTTGGGGCACACAGGGACCGGAAGAAAGGTATCCCTGGAAAGGGACAGCAAGAACAAAGGCACAGGCGAGACAGTTCCGAGCTCTGCAGGAGGAAAGCGAGTGACCCTGGTTAGCTGAACTTAGGATGAATCATGTGATTGAGGGGAAATAAGGTCGGACGAGAACATTGGAGACACCTTGTAGTTAGGGCTATTGCATGTCAGAGAATTTGGACTTGAGTCTATAAATCATTGGTGTCTGACCTTCATTGATTGCACATCTCACTAGTTAAATAAGCACATACCACAAATACATGAATATTTACTCATTTATCAACTATAAGCAAGTCCTATGTTATAAAGCACACGCAGAAATAGAAGTGGAAATTGAAAATTTATGTGGCTGGGTGTAAACGAAGACATAGTGTCTCACCCTCATGGATCATATCACACACACTGGCTATCTCCCCTCGGAGAACTGGCAGTGGGAAGCCACTGGGGATGTTGGAGGGTGAGAGCAAGTGTGGGGGCCAGATCCTGCTTCTGGAGGGCTGGCACGACCAGGCCAGGGTCAGGAGGCAGGGTTCCCATCATTGATCGACTGCCTCCTGCACGTCCTCTACCAGGGATGGAGCCCGCAGCCTGGGCATGTGCCTGATGGGAATCAAACCAGCAATCTTTCGTTGCGTGGGACCATGCCCAGTCAACTGAGCCACACCGGCCAGGGCCTGTTTGTTGTTTTGTTGTTGTTGTTGTTGTTTTAACGGATGCATTATCCTTTATAATCTCTCTGGGTGTATTATTTGTTCATTGAAGTTTTATTTTTCCTGTATAATTGGTTACTTTTGTTTGTTGGCTTACTTGGGTTTCTGTCTTTCATGTTGGAGGCATTTCTCAGGAAATCCTTTGCCGACTATTCCGTTTAGGATGGGAGACTAAGCAGCTAAGTGGCAACTTGACGGACGGATAAGGCTGGACAATGTTGAGATCTACTGAAGGGTGGTCTGTGTGGGCTATTTGTTGGAGAATCCTTGCATCAAACTTTTAGGTGTTTCTATTGGTCTTTTCATATTTTTTCTCTTTCCTACCGGGAGAGTAGAGGTCTGGTGGCCATTCTCTAGAAGATGCGGGGACTCCACATTCACCATTCAGTGAGCATTCACTTTATCCCTCTGTTTTCAATCAAGTACTCAAACCCACAACTGTATCCGGTGCCCCTCAGTTCAGAAACTATTTGTTTTTTTTACATTTTCTAGAAAATCAATGTTCCATCTTTCACCAGGGAAGGGAAGGGGCAGTCTGGAATGATGAAAGAGATCTGGGAATTTAACTTCTCTCTTAAAAAAAAAATTCATTGCTTCTGAGAGGAAGGGAGAGGAAAAGAGAGGTAGAAACATCAATGATGAGAAAGAATCATTGAGCGGCTGCCTCCTGCATGCCCCCTGTTGGGGATTGAGACCACAACCCAAGCATGTAACTTGACTGGGAATTGAACCATGACCTCCTGGTTCATAGGTCAATGCTCAACCACTGAGCGACACCAGCCAGGCTTATCTTCTCTTTAAGAAGCTTCTCACCAACCCTCCTTATTTAGCACCCACTTCACCAGAGTGCCAGAGACTCCTGTGGTTATAAACTTGGGGGTGAAGATCCCCTGCTGGACTAGGATTCAGCTGTCTTTGATGTCTTAAGTCAATTTTCATCTCTCCTTCTGATTCCAACTTCCAAAATTTTGTTGGTAGTGTCTTCTTTCCTTCTGCCTTGTTCTTGTAGATTTATGGGGGGAACACACACCCAAAAACAAGCAAACAGAACATTTGCTGTGGTGGTAGTGGGGATTCAGGAAAGAAAATGGGCACATGTTTTTTATCTGCCATCTGGAATTCATGTTCTTTTCATTCTTCAAGGGCAACCGAGGTTGCATTTCTTCCCAAAGCCTACTCATTCTGCTCCAGGACTCCCTGGGAGCTCCCGTTCCCAAAGCGCTCTTACAGGGACGGCGTGTGTCAAGTTTACTTAGTACATAATGGTTTTGCTTCCCAACCAGATGGTTAGCTCCTGGAAGGCCAGGATGAGATCTTGTTCTGCCTCTGTACACCTCGCCCTGGGAAGACAAGGCTTAGGGCTAGCAGCCGCTGTAATACTTGTCGATTGTGTGATTTTCTGCTTCTTGGGGAAACCATGCAGTCACATGTTTTCAACGATGCTCAGAACTGCCCTTCAGGAAACCAGAGCATGATTCACTACACCAGGGGTGGGGAATGTGCAGTCTACGGGCCGTATAAGGCCCATTAAATCATTTGGTCTGGCCCTGCCAAGGCATTAGGGGTGAGTTAATTAAATGTTTGGCCAAATACTAGTACAGCAGGCTAATTTTTAAGTTTATAATTTTGTATGTCCCGAGAACGATGTTATAAATATCCAAATGGCCCTTGGCAGGAAAAATGTTCCCCATCCCTGCCCTAGTCAATACCAGGCAGATACCTTTCTCTAATGTCATACATCATGCTTCTTTTTGGGGTGTCACTATTCATGAATTTTTCTTTTATTGAGGAAGCTGTTGTCCTCCCAACCCTCCATTACAGTCCCTCTTACCTCCTCACCTTTAAGATAGCTGCTCTGTAGCATAATAAAAGGCCTTCTTCTCTTTCCCACATCATGTCACCATGGTTTTTATGTTATATTGCAATGAGTTTTGTTGGCTGTATTGTGTTATGTGGACAGAAGAGGAATAAATAAGGAGGCACGGTAGTCATACTTTTTGTGGGAAATTATTCGTGGGAGTTTTGATGAAATTTCATAAATTTTACCTAGGCAATACAGCAGGCTGAAGATGGGCTGAAGGAATTGGATGCAGGAATCGCTGAATTAAAAAAGCGTGGTGACAAGTTGCAGATTGAGCAGCCTGCCCTGCAAGAACTCTCCAAACTCCAGGTATGATTTTCTGCCAATGGCATTCAATGATGCATCCTAACTAGAACTCAAGAAAAAAGTATTTTCTCCATTTTCTTGGTTTTTTTTTTCTCTATAAAATTCAGATCATTTAAGTTCTAATCTCTCTTCCAAGTAACTCTTAGAAAAATTTCTGAAATTTTTACTATATTTAATGCAATAAAAACATTGTATTCTCATGCTTCTAAGATTCTTTTTTTAAAAGTTATTTGTTATTGTAAAAAAAGTCATTTGTTATTATTCTGATGGCTAACCACGGTGGTGTAGTTTAGTTGTGCTGTATTATTTTCTACTGTAGAAAATGTAGTTATTATCAGTCCAACCTAGAAAAGTTAAGAAAGGGTGATCTACTCTGTATTTAAAGAGTGGTTTTTATCAGTCATTAAAGCTATAGTTTATCGTTCATACATTTTTTAATGGAAGAGAGACACTGTGCCAGTTCCAAAACAAAACAAAAAATTTAACCCAGAGGAAGCTGAAGTCTTCACAGACCTCCTGGCCCCACTCAGGAGCAGAGGGCAACTTGGGGTTACTTTGCTTTCCTGGATCGGCCCTTAACGCAAGAATCTGCTGTCAGGGCGGTGGGCCGATCCTGGGATATTACACCAGCAAAAATTTAGCCTTTGATGAGCAACATAGTTAAGTTATATTAAGAAAAAAATGTGCGTAGTGACACATGTGCACACATTTGCCCTGTACGCCTGTTACAGACCGTTGAGGAATTACTAGCATGAATCCAGTCCAGGCTCACAGGTCCTTCCTTTCAAGAAAATAAAATCGCTCTTATTTTTAAAAGAGCATTTTTATTTTAGGTATCTCATCCCACTGTCTAACATTTTGCAATGTCATGAGCCCACTGCCCCCCACTCGGTCCTTTCTAGACAGTTTCCGACGATGGTTAACGTCAGGTGTAGGGTCCAACGTCAGGCTGTAAACAGGCATTAGAGCTGAACTTTCCAGATCGGACATTGTTGGCCTCTAAACCTTCCCATGGCACATTAATCAGGTCCGTATGGCTCAAATAAATTCTGTGTTTAGTGTATCATCGTCTCCTAAAATGCCTTTCCAGTTAAGATATTTATTTATTTCACCACATTTGGCAAAAACATGGCCTTTTCAAGCCTTCAAGTCTTCCAGCTCCCAGTAAATGCTTCTGCTTCTCAAGCTCTTTATTTGAAGAATAGTCCCAAATCAGATTATTAAGTAGTATTTGTAATGTTAAGGATACTATATTCGATTACTCTAAACGTGTATGAATGTTTAGAACATGATAAAAATCAGAATTAAATTTCCGGAGGCATTTCCCTTCACCTCCATGAACAATTTGTGATCCCACATCTCGCCACAAACATTGACATTCCAAGAAGACTAATTAAGTCTACCCCATGTGTCACTTCTAGGCAACATTTTTGTACATCCTTTGTAATGTTAAAAACATTAGCTTATTTTTTTAATTATATTTTTTATTGATTTCAGAGAGGAAGGAGAGGGAGAGAGAGATAGAAACATCAATGATGAGACAGTTGCTTCCCACAAGCCCCACACTGGGGATCAAGCCCACACCTGGGCACATGCCCTGACCGGTAATTAAACCATGACCTCCGGGTTCATAGGTCGATGCTCTACCACTGACCCACACCACCGGGCTAGCTTATCTTTTTTTGAAAGAAGTTTTTGAAGTGAGGATTCTGAGTAAGGCAGACGGACGGATGCCCGATACACAGAGCATCACCATAGGCAGGCACCTGAAGGCGCGTCCCGGGGTTGTGGGTTTGGTAGGTAATGTATTTTTAGAGAGGAGCCTCAACCTCACTTGAGTGAATGTTGCTGTCCCTGTTTCTAAGGACATGTATGACGAACTGATGATGACCATCGGCTCTCGGCGGAGTGGACTGAACCAGAACCTAGCACTCAAGAGCCAGTACGAAAGGGCCCTGCAAGATCTGGCCGACCTGCTGGAAACTGGACAAGAGAAGATGGCCGGCGACCAGAAACTGATCGTGTCTTCCAAAGAGGAAGTCCAACAGCTCCTTGACAAACATAAGGTAGAGAGAGAGAGAGAGAATGTACTTGTGCAAGCATAGTCTCACTGATAAATATCGAGTAAAACCCAGTATTTTCAATCTTTCAGGAGTTCCTACTTGTATAAGTGAATCTTTAAGATGATAAACAAATGTGTACGCAAAGCCACTGGCATGCAGTAGCACAGAACAGTTACAGAGGCCATGCTCTATAATGTTATCAGTTAAAAAAGAATACAACCTCAGCAGTCATTTTAAGTGTCCCTTCCTCACAGTCTCGGCCAGGCTTTCTCATTTCCTAAACTGGGAAACGCAGGGACCCTCTCAAAGGAGCCCAGCTTCCTTCTGAACTGCTATTTTCCTCTGTGTTTTCTATGCCCATTTGTTCATCTAGCTCTAGGTGTTCTCTCTGCCTGGCCCAGGACGCCTCGCTCTGCTCTGGGAATGGGTTTCTTTCTCTCGCATGTGGCACCCGGCTCTTATGGCCTTAAACACATGCTCCTTTAGTTGCTGTGGCCGCAAGAGTTGCCTTCTGGGGACAACAGGTCCTTTTGCTACATAATCAAACTTGGTCGGCCTGCGCTTGCTCCAGCAGTATGTGCCGTACCAAGTTCACGTTAGCCCCTACGCTTAATTCAGCCATGCCTGCTTAGTGCACAAACAAAGGTAACTCTTGCATTATTAGCAATAACTGCAGAAAGAGCAATGTTGCTAGTTCAGAACCCCAAACTCCAAGGCTCCTGGAAGTTCCTCTAGGAAAACTTTCAAAACCCCATTGGGTTACAGATGGTTAACCTTCTGCTATCATGTAGCTTCCCTGGTGGCTTCCCAAGGTAGATTTTTTTTTTACTATTAGACTTCTTGCTATTTTTCCCAGAGGTTTTTGTCCAAAACGTTGTGATTTATTAAGGCCTTATCATTTGGCTTTGAAAACATTGCTTTAAAGTTCACAGCTGGTTTTTCTCAAATCTTTGACCCTAGTAATAAAATAACCTCCTGAGTTATTCCAGAGAAGAAACTAGGATCAATGAATATAAATAACAGAGAAATTAAGCTCCATAGATGAAGAACGCTGAGAGGAGTAAGCTGCCTTGAGCAGACAGCCCCCCTGGCCATGAGAAGCCCATCCAAGGCTGTTGGGGGAGATGGGGTTGTAAAAGGAATTTCAGCTTCCCATGAATTTGAGCTCTGTGACATCCAAGTTCTCTTCCAACTTTAAGATTCTACGATATAATAATGGATGGTTGATTTAAAAAGATGGTTCTTGCTTCTCCTGACCAGAGCATTTTCTGAGAGGGAGCTTGCTCGGCAGTGACCTTGAGCAAGTTACATAGATTGGACCATGCAGTGTCCCCATCTGTAAAATGTGAAATAATCTGCCTGCCTCATAGAGTTGTTGTAAGGAGTACATGAGTTAGTCAAGTGCCGATAGAGTACCTGGCACGTAGCACACACTAAATATTACTGTCTATGGATTCTCAGTCCTTCGGTTCTACCTGTGGTGCTGGGAACAGGAAATGGGATAAACCCTATCTCCCTCCTCTGGGCCCTTTGACACAGAAAAAGGAACCATTCAAAAACACATTTGAAGGTTTGTGCAAGGTCTACCGTTTCCTTGCATGTAGGTATAATCTGAGGGAAATTTAGAACACATCATACCACTCAGCCCAACCACAGAGGAAGGAAGTTGTGAGTGTGCCGGGTGAGGTCCTCTCAGTGAGTACAGAGTATAAACAGAGGCCCGGATGGGGAATGGGAGCTGAAGTGTGAGGGACAAGGGAGGCCAGTTTGGGTGGTGGAGTTAGTGAGAGGCGGGTGAGGACAGTAAGGAAATCCGGATCGCAGAGAGCAGGGGCTCGTTCCCTATGAAGGGCTCTGGGTAGGGCACAGAGTGTGTGGATGCTCCTGGTGGGGGAACAAGGGAGGCCACGCAGGAGCCTGGAGCCCTGTAAGGTGGCGGCCAGCAGCGGTGGAACAGTGTCGCTCAGATGTCAGCTGAGTACCATCAGCTTTCCCGTTCGAAGCAATTGTATCATCTGGTAGTAAATGAATGAGTCACTGACCTCTTTTTTTCTACCTGGAAAATGGCAGGAATACTTCCAGGGTCTGGAATCTCACATGATTTTGACGGAAACGCTCTTCAGAAAGATAATCAGCTTTGCAGTCCTGCAGGAAACTCAACTGCATGCAGAAGTGATGGCGCAGGCTTCCGCGGTCCTGAAAGGGGCTCACAAAAGGGGCGTGGAGCTGGAGTACATTCTAGAGGTGAGACCCTTGAGGCAGCACACCCCGCTCCCCCCATGAAGGCAAGACAGTGATTCCTGCGATTTGCCTCCCGTAACCTCGGAACTCCCAGAGGCAGTGTCACGTGTCGCCTTGCCCCCTCTGAGTGTCCTATGTGCGTTGTGATAGAGCCTTCCCCACACAGAGGCAGCTGCCCGGGGACCGCCTTCACACTGGGCAGGAGGAGGCGAGGGGTTTGAGAGGCAGGCTGAAAAACTGCTGACCTTTGCTATAAATTATTGACGTGAACTTCAAGTGATTGGCAAAAAGACTTCCCAATTTAAAACAAAATAAAAATCTGAATTTAGAAAAAAAGTCACTTGAGAGTTCTCCTTAGTAGAATGCCTATGCTATATGTTCCTATTTCTTAAACGTCTGTGCTTTTCTAAATTTGCAAATGCAATATATTTAGTTCACTTTCTACGTGAACAGGCCCATTCCTTCTAGTTAAGTCATGCATTCATCACTACCAGGGTAAAGAATGAAAACTGGGTAATCAAATGCTTGCTGTGTTCCAGGCGTAATGCACACATTATTCTATTTAACCCTCCACATGGACCACATAGGTATTATTATTCCCATGTTTAAATGTTAAAAATGAGGCTCAGAGAAGCTGATATCTTGTCAATGCTCGTTAGTAACTTGCTCATGCTGCTGGTTAGTTGCAGCTGCCACAGGCTGTTGATAATGCTTTTCAGGGTCACCGTCTGATGCCTGGCTTCAGGGCCATCCTTTGCTTCCCAAAGCAAACCCCCCCCACCCCCACCCACCCCCAGAGACATCTCCCTCTGACCGAACTTCAAAGAGAACCTGTCAAGTGCATATTTTGCACAGGAAGAGGAATGCTGTTCCTTAATGAGGGCTTCTAGCTCATGGACTGATGTTGCCTTTCCAGACGTGGTCCCATCTGGATGAGGACCAGCAGGAGCTCCACGGGCAGCTGGAGGTGGTAGAGAGCAGCATCCCCAGCGTGGGGCTGGTGGAGGAGAGCGAGGACAGGCTCGTGGACCGGATCACACTCTACCAGGTCAGCGTCCCCGTGCATCTTGGTGTGGGAAGCTGCCACATTTCCTTTGGAAACTCTCCCATGGTTTTAACAGGATCTAAACAAACTTGCAATCAAATATTAAGCACTGTTACTTTGATTTCAAGCTATTGACGTTGTTGAAAGCACATAAATGTTAAGTGTTTGTTTTCTAATAGAATATAAGTAGGGTTTTTTTCTTTCCTTTTTGGTAATGAGAGCTCCTTTTGAACATTCAGCCTCCATCAGGCGTTTTCTGTAGTTTACCCTGATATCACACTATCTTGAAAAAATTATAGCTGGTTGTTTTATGAGCATTAAAAGTTTTTTTTTTTAACCCTGATATCACACTATCTTGAAAAAATTATAGTTGGTTGTTTTATGAGCACTAAAAGTTTTTTTTTTTTTTTAATGAAAGAGTGCTCCTCTTGAAAACTCAGCTTCCACCAAGCATTTCCTGGAGTTTATGTGGTGAAATAATTATAGTTTGATAGTCTTACATGCATGTAAAGTCACCACCAAAAAAATAAACAAATAAAGACATCTTTATTTAGATATAGTAGGTGAAACATCTCAAAGTTTCCAACATCACTTGGCTGTAAATAATTGAAGTTTGACTAAGGATAATGGGAACATATGGATACCAGAGAAATTGTGATCCTTAGAGAGACACATTGCATTATCCAAACTTCTGACCCCGTATTTTTCATCATTTCAGCATTTGAAATCCAGCCTTAATGAATACCAGCCCAAATTATATCAGGTGTTAGATGATGGGAAGCGCCTTCTGATATCCATTAGCTGCTCCGATCTGGAGAGCCAGCTGAACCAGCTCGGAGAACACTGGCTGAATAGTACCAACAAAGTGTCTAAGGAGCTTCACAGATTGGAAACGATATTGAAACACTGGACCAGGTAATACAAGGACTATTTTGCCCATTTTTTAGATTAGTGTTCAAGAACATTTATAAGGCTAGTGGGTACAGGACTTGAAAAAGATATCATGGTCCCTCTAGGAACGTATCACATAGTTTGGAAAATAAAAGCAAACACAAGCCCCCAATTGGATTCCTGTATAATCATATAAACATGCCATCCAAAGGGCGAGGGAGGCGGGTGCCTTCCCTTTGAGCTGAGCTCCTCCTCGCCTGTTGACTGCACGTGGGTGGGCACAGTAAAACCTTAGTGGGAAAGAAGAGAGAATGGTTTTGAGAAGATGCAATTTCTCAAGGACAAGAGGAATATTCAAGAGAAGTGGAGGGAGTGATGTTACATAATGAAATACTCTATTTCTATGCCATCTTTGTTTTCAAGAACTTTTAATAACAGTCATCTGATATGGCCTGAATAGCTTCAACATGAACGGATAGGGGAAATACATTTTTATTTTCAGCTTAGAGAAGAGAAAGCTGAAACTTGGAGGAGACTGTCTTGCTTCAGGCATAAATGTTAAGGGAATAAGAATTTGAGAGTTTGAACGTAGGGCATTATTCTCCCAAATCTATCATGCCTTTTTAAGATTAGCATTGGGACACAGGCAACAGGATGGTGATTAGCAGAGCGAAAGAGGGATGGGGGAGGTAGAAGAAGGTAAAGGGAGGATAAATGATGATGCAAGGAGACTTGAATTGGGGTGGTGAACACACAGTATAAAATACAGACGGTGTATTGTAGATTGCACACCAAAGCCTATATAATTACAGTAACCAATGCCACCCCTAATAAATTCAATAAACATTTACAAAAATAAAATTACACGGGTGAATGACATGGGTTAGCAGAAAGCAGGGATTGGATGTTGACCTAATAGGCTCATCAATATGCTTACAGATATCAAAGTGAGTCTGCGGCTCTAACGCACTGGTTACAGTCCGCAAAAGACAGGCTGGAATTCTGGACTCAGCAATCTGTGACCGTCCCCCAAGAACTGGAGATGGTCCGTGATCATCTGAACGCTTTCCTGGTAAGAGTTCAAAGCATTTGGCTCACGTGTATTGTTTACGGGCCTATAGGTGAGGCCTGATCTACACTAGAAGAGAGGAAACCAGCTGTCCGTGGGTGAACTTAACAAACCACGTTCTGGAGCATCTTTATGCAGAATACTAGGCTCAACATCGCCTCTTTCGGGAGTTTATAGGCAGTGGCTTCATCGGTGGCTCTTTTTATAAAAAATTTCTTTATTGATTAAGGTATTACATATGTGTCCTTATTTCCCCATTGGGAGAGAGTAGGCTGCTTTTGTTTTTTGTCTGCAATTTCCTAACATAACTCCCCTTCAAGATGTAAAGAAAAGTTGTTTTTGCCATAAATTGGTCTCTCTCCTTAAATGAAAGGTCTGGCTCTTTAATCCTGATTTGAACTTTGCTCCTTCTTTCAGGAGTTTTCCAAAGAAGTGGATGCCCAATCCTCCCTGAAATCGTCTGTTCTAAGCACCGGGAACCAGCTCCTTCGCCTAAAGAAAGTGGACACGGCCGCCCTGCGTTCCGAGCTGTCGCACATAGACGGCCAGTGGACGGACCTGCTGACAAATATTCCGACGGTCCAGGAAAAGCTCCACCAGGTACAGCAAGAATCTTTGGCTTCATTGGTAATGTCCGACTTGAGCAGTATGGAATGGAAAGCTGCCTTCATCTGCTTTTGCTCACGGATTTAAATAAGCTTCGTCTTGGACGTCTTGTCTTTTCTCTTTTCCACTGTACAGCATATCAATATGAACCCTTCACCAAATGCCACATTTACAGATGCCACACCTTCCAAGGGCTTCTTTTTTCTTTTTAATATACTGTTATTGATTTCAGAGAGGAAGGGAGAGGGAGGGAGATAGAAACATCCATGAAAGAGAGTCATTGATCGGCTGCCTCCTGCATGCCCCACACTGGCGATCAAGCCCACAACCTGGGAATGTGCCCTGACTGGGAATCGGGAATCGAACCATGACCTCCTGGTTCTTAGGTCGACACTCAACCACTGAGCCATGCTGGCAGGGCCCACAGGCTTCTTTAGTGTGTGTGTATGTGTGTGTGTGTGTTACAATCCCTCTCTGGTCTTGCTTAAATTCTTTTTCTTGTGAGTAAAGCGTGGGTCACTGCGCCTACCTTATAAAGTGGGTAGCCATGAAGATTTAACAATAATAAATGTAAAAGACCTATAATCTTACCTACAATACAGCAGCTGGCATTCATTCAATAAGGGAAGAGAAGTTAGAGAAGGGCAGTCAGTTCTCCTCTTTCCTGGAAACATGTTTCTCACCTCTGAACTCCCAGAGAGTTTATTTTTCTCTCTCTTTTGTGCTTGTCACTGTAGATAAGGTAAGATAGATGTGTTTAATGCCAATTTTCATTCCTACTAATCAGCTGCTGTGCATCTCACATTTGTCTCTACGTCATTCTGCACCCCATAGAAGTCCATAAATATTTTAAATGATTGCTTATGTTCTTCCAAATTATTATAATAAGTAGCTGCATAAATGTATGATGTGTTAAGTAAGATTCAGACTTGTAAGTATCTTTTAAAGACTGAAGAAATTGGCTATGCTCTTAGGAATAAATATGAGAGCGCCAAAGCTCTCGAAAATGATAGTTGGTATTGTGGTATTTTTCTTTCTGCTTTTAACATTCTTGAGTCATAATACACAGAGATTTTATGAGCTAATTAATAAGATACATCTGTTGAATGTTTTGTAGTTACGTTTTTTGAAGGTCATAAAACTAGCTATAAAATAACAATAATATTTTCTTCTTTCTGGTATTTTGATTAATTAGCCAGTGTTTGTACAATGTTTATAGTATTGGATGGCAAGTGCACAGAAGATGACTAGGATTGTTCAGTGTTTGCCCGCTGTTTAATTCCAAGCTTCCAGTGAGGTCAGGATCCAGACATGGCGTTAAGAAGAGTTACCTATGCGGGAACATTAATAAGGGTCATGGAGGGTGTTTAGGTTACAGGCACAGGGTTTGAACTTTAATACTGTGACTTGCTCTCCTCCCCCTCGGACAGCTCCAAATGGATAAGCTGCCCTCGCGCCATGCCATCTCGGAAGTCATGACTTGGATCTCTCTCATGGAGAATGTCATTCAAAAGGATGAAGAGGATATAAAAAATGCCATAGGCTACAAGGCGTTCAATGAGTACCTTCAGAAATATAAGGTGATGGCACATTTGTTATCTTTACCTTTTCGTGCTTTGGAGCTATTTTATCTGAAGGGACATAAGAACTCCAAGGATGGCAATTAAGCTCTGAAGTAGAGATTTCATCCATAGTGACCGGATAGCTGTCTGAGAGTAATAACATTGCCTCCCTCGTGATAGGCATGGAAAAGTTGTCTGGTATTAGGAATAATTTTGAATAAGATTTTGTGTCATTTTAAGAAGTCATAAAAATGGATACTATAATTTATAAATATTTTATAGTGTAATCATAAAATGTATCCAATTCTACATCCTCTGTCATATATATATATTTATTTATTTATAAATTCAAATATATTTATAAATTCAAAAGTTAATAAATTTAATTCATGTCTACCGTATTCATATATATTTTATACTAGAGGCCCGATGCACGAAATTTGTGCAAGAGCAGGCCTTCCTTCCCCTGGCTGCCGGGACCGGCTTCCCTCTGGCACTTGGGACCTGGGCTTCCCTCTGGCTGCCAGCAGGCACCCAGAACCCAGGCTTCCCTTGCTGCCCTGGCTTCGTCCGGAAGGTCATCCGGAATGACGCCTGGTCTAATTAGCATATTATGCTTTTATTATTATAGATATATTCCGTTTCTGAAAATAATGGGTTCTATGCATGCACACAGATGGTGCCATTCGGACTAAACCATGGAAGTTATGGCATGAACCTTTTGCTCACTCACGGCCCTTCAGCTCCTGAGCAAGCCCACGACATGCGCCCTCTGACCTCGTTTCCTTCTCTCCCCCTCGCTCCAGGGCTTTCAGATAGACATTAACTGTAAGCAGCTGACAGTGGACTTTGTGAACCAGTCTGTGCTGCAGATCAGCACCCAGGACGTGGAGAGCAAGCGCAGTGATAAGACTGACTTTGCGGAGCAACTCGGAGCAATGAATAAAAGCTGGCAGATCCTGCAGGGCCTCGTCGCTGAGAAGGTGAGCCACGTGGCCACCGCTGGAGAGACTCTCTCAAGAAAATTAACTGTAGGAGTAGGATAGCGACAGACGCCGGGCTTGGGGATTCTGCGGGAGAGAATGCCACTGAAGAATACATACATGGCTCTACATGTGTTTTTTTAAAAATATGTATATATTTTTATTGATTTCAGAGAGGAAGGGAGAGGGAGAGATAGAAACATCAGTGATGAGAGGGAATCATTGATCGTCTGCCTCCTGCATGCCCCCTACTGGGGATTGAGCCCGCAACCCGGGCATGTGCCCTTGACTGGAATCAAACCTGGGGACCCTGCAGTCCACAGACCAATGCTCTATTCACTGAGCCAAACCAGCTCCTGCTGGCTCCACATGGTCTTCAGTCATGTAGATTACTTTGTCTTACGCACCCTCCACCCTTTGTATATTTCATATTATTTTAGTTTTTTAAAGATGATTCTTAATTTCTTTTGCCCTCGTTTCAAGTAGACTTAAGATCTTTACTTGCTTACCAAAAAATAGTCATTGATTCGCACTTTGGAACATTCATTTTTAATCAAACATACCGTGGACTGTATTTTACGAATTTATGAATTCTCAGTTTGGAGGAAGTAGTGGCCTGCCAATGATTTGAAATTAAAATAAAATTGTACATTTCATTTCATTACGTTTGTTCAGATCCAGCTGTTGGAAGGCTTATTGGAATCGTGGTCAGAATATGAAAACAATGTACAAGGTATGAAAACTTGGTTTGAAACCCAGGAAAAGAGACTACAACAACAGCATCGAGTCGGAGACCAGGCTTCAGTCCAGAACGCAATGAAAGACTGTCAGGTAACTGGTCCGGGCGGCCGACGCGCTCCAGTCACAATTTCACGGCATGTGCCCAATGAAAGGGCCATTCCTGAGAACTGGGAGTTAAATATTGAGAACAGTTGCATTTGATTACAAATTTCTCTGATTATGTGAGTTTATAGAGTTTTCCTATTAGGTCTTTTCACCTCTTTTTATAAAATTTAAAATAGAATGTTTTAAACACACTCACAAGGAGAGAGGATGCTGCTAACCCAGGGGTGGGCAAACTTTTTGACTCGAGGGCCACAATGGGTTCTTAAACTGGACCGGAGGGCCGGAACAAAAGCATGGATGGAGTGTTTGTGTGAACTAATATAAATTCAAAGTAAATATCATTACATAAAAGGGTACGGTCTCTTTTTTTTAGTTTTATTCATTTCAAATGGCCCGGATACGGCCCGTGGGCCATAGTTTGCCCACGGCTGTGCTAACCCCTGATCATCAGATACTGATCATCAGATTTAATATCAAGATTTTGACATGGTTCCCTGAATATTTCTTCTCTCCTGAAAGATGTCATAATTAATACCAGATAGCATGCCATAATTTATTCCTGCATGCTACAATTCCCCGCTCTACAAAATGGACTTTTCTTATATAACCATAATATTATCACCACCAAATGTTTAACAAACTATGGAATCCCTTTATATTTGTAATGCTCAACCCATAACACTATTTCCTAAATTTCCTGTAAAATGTATATTTCTAGTTAATTTATTTCCATAAAGATACAGCAGTGTCTATATGTTCATATGCTTGTTAGCTCTCTTAAGTCACTAATATTTTCTTAATACCATTAACTTGCTGGAGAAAAGGTAGATTGGCCCCGGACCCAGGATCAGCCTGTGTATTTCCCTAAAGTGGCATTTAACTTGCTCTTCTCTCCCCCTGTATTTCCTATGAATGGGCATTAGCACAAGAGGCTTGATTGGATTCTGGCTCAGCTCTCATGGGGGGCGGGAGGGTGTTCACAGGTGACAGTGTGACTACTGTGTCACATGCTTGCTCTGGTAGTGGCAAGGCTGTGGGTTCAGGTGCAGTGGGCACACTCTAAATGTTCCCCATTGACCGAGGAACACTTATTCTTTCCTCAGATATTCTTGTTTCTACAGAAGAAATGGGAGCTGTCACAGTGAACCCTGCAATAATTGTTTTTAAACGTAATTCAATAATTTGTAACGTGTTACAGATGACTGTGACGCTTCTTGGTAGTGTTTCCTAAGAACAGTTGAAGATGCAGCTGGGAAGCAATTCTGCAGAAATGCCCCTTTCCCAAAGCTAGCTTTTCTATTCCAGATTTCCAATAGAACGGCCTTTAGTAATGAACTTCCTTCCGGGCAGCACTTCTTCTGTGGGCACAGGCAGCGTCAGGTATATTTAAGCTCCGAAGCAAAGCTGTTCGTTTCAGAAAAGGAAGAGCAGACGCCCTTTGCTGGGCTGACAAGCTAATGGATTGCCAGTCAGAGATGCATACAAATGGCAAAGGACACCATCACATAGAGAAATAGCTTGAAATTAAAAAAAAGCTTCACATCAGAAGATGGGTGTGTAAAAGATGGAAGACCAAAAAACATATCGTTGCATTTTCTTTGTTAAGAATACGTTTTTATCAATTTTAGAGAGGAAGGAAAGGGAGAGAGAAACATCAATGATGAGAGAAAATCATTGATTGACTGCCTCCTGCACCCCCCACCCCCGGGGGGATCAAGCCTGCAACCGGGGCGTGTGTTCTGACCAGGAATTAAACCCGGGACCTCTTGGTGCATGGGTCAGTGCTCAACCACTCAGCCCCACCAGCTGGGCCATCGTTGCATTTTCAATTCTCCAGGGGCCAGTAGCATTTCTAATTTAGGCATCCATTCTAAAATGTGCAAATAAGTCAGAATTTCAAATTTTGACTTTGGAGCATGAAAACTTATACCTCTTGATGAGCTCATGAGTGCAAACACTAACATTAAAATTAAAAGATAATTCACGTGTTAAACATGAGCAGGATTAGTGCTCCCTTGTCATATTGTTGTGATAGATGTTGCTATGGAAAGACTGAAACGATACCTTAATGTAACTTTTCTTTTTTTCTTCTCTCCTACTGTTCTTTCTTAGTATTTTTTTCTTATTTTCTGTTACTTTTTCCTGCCATTTCCCACTGTGTTTCTTTACATGTCCATGTCTTCTATTTAATAGAGAGAGACATTGTTATCTGGAACATGTAGTGGACGCCTGGCAAGCTTTACTCCTTTCCAGACCCAAATGTTACTCTCCCAGGGGTTCACGTCAGGCAGGGTCAGGAAGGAAAGCTGGGAGTGTGGTTCAGGGAATGTGATGCCAATGCCAATTTGTGATTTCAAGTGAAAAGTCATTTTTCTAAACAAAGGACAGAATGAATGTAGTTCCACTGAGTTATTTGGGGGCATCACTGGGTCTTTGTGTGTGTGCATGCATGTGTACGTGTGTGTGTTGGTTTTTTTCCTCTAACTGGCATGTTTTATTGGCAGTACCATAAGCCTTGATCAAAATTTATTGTCATTTTTGGGAAATGGTTTCTCTGGACCAAAGTGTGAAATTCAAGCCAGCCTGCTTAAATTGGTGACTGGATTCAAGCTTTACTTTGTTTTAAAAATCTCTTGAATATTTTTCCACTCTTTTGAGGTGATTTATTCACTAATATCATCATAGAAACTGCTATGTAGGAATTAACTCAAGAATGATTCATTATAGCAAAAAATGTTGGGTTTGGCTTTTCCCTTCATTGATCAGAAACAGAATCATCTTTTAATTATTATTGAAAGGAAAGGATGACACCTTCATTTTGCACAAAATATATATTTCAGCCCTGTTTCCCTTCTGGGTTTGCTTTTATGGCCATATTAAGGTACAGAGCGTTTTGGGGATGTGTTTCTGAGCAATGGGGCATTAACTCCACTGGGCCCCTGAACAAATTACACCTCTGGATCAATGAGGATACATTTCATTCCAGTGGTTGAATTTTAGAATCATATTAAAGACATAGTGGAAGGATTCTTTATGGGTATTTAATATTTCAGAGAGGTAGAGATAAATATCTTTCAGTAGTAAAGTTAATTATGTTTTCTGTGCTGTATAAAAGACCCGTAGCCCTAGTAATCACTATATTCATCCTCTGCTTAATTATCTAAGCTGTTGAAATACTGACAGAAATATAAAGTGGAAATTAAAGAACAAAGTTAAAAACACAAATGATCTATTCTGGCTACTAAATGCATGCATTTCCAATTAATAATACATCATGACAAAAGTAGCTTCATGATAATTAAGGAGAGAAAAATAAATAAATTTGCCCTGAAGCATGGCAGAGTATCAACTGACTGAATATAACAATACTGTCTTACATTTGCTTAGTAGTTATTTATCTATTTATTACATTTGCCTAGTTTTTAACAGCTTAAAAGATTATATGAATATTATATATAATATACATATAAAATATATATATATATATAATATATAATGTTAGCCTTTTCAGGTAAGCAGATCTATTATTATTCCTATTTTATAAATTAGGTAGAATTAAAAGTTTGGACCCCACAGAAATAAAAATAAAAGAGGCACAACATTTGTAATGAATACAGCAGAGGCTGGCCTCCTCTCTATAGCCTCTGAATAGCACCACCCAATCCCCATCTTGTTATCTCTATGTGGTTCATGAGAGAAGGGTAGAAATCTTTTCTACAGAATTGAGACATTATCTAAATTTAAAATATTTTGGAATTTTTTCACTCTAACCTTCAAGGTCTACACACTTCTACATCTAGCTCTGGGCTGCACTCCCGAATTTGAGACTGTAGCCAGGCCTTAATCTATGACTTCTCCATCACCCAGCATGGGTTTGGCATCCTCTCCACAACTCCTGTCCAGCTGCCTGGCCTGCAGCACTGGGCTTGGAGGCAGTGAGCTCAGAAGGCTGGGTTCCAAGCCCACCTTCAGCCTCACCAGCGCTGAGACCCAGGACAGGTTGTCTGACATGATCTCCCACACGCTCATTCCCAAAGTGGTGAGAGCAGTCAGAGTCTGCCTCACTGAGCTCTCCAAATTTTCAAAAGGCGTTCGAATATCGGTTAAGGTTATGAAGCATGGTTAAGTGTGATCTCCAGGTCGTTGCCTCATTTTCTTTTCTTTTTGCACATCCCATACTGACAGTTATAAATGCGCATCCCAAAGAAAATGAGGATTTGGTTCATGAAAAAAAAGCCTATAATTTTTTCAAATCACACAGTATCAGACTATTTTAGGGAGAAATAAAGGATAATAGACATTCTGAAGAAATCTGTGACACAGTGAATGTTTGTAACATATCCGAAGTGCCACAGCTACATTGTAGCCGAAATACAACTAAATCTCAGATACTGGGGTACAGGATACCATTTCATTGCATTTTACCCTATGGTTTAGGACGGGGTAATTTTTCCAACACCAAGATACATGAATTTAAGAATTTAATCATGTTACCAGTTCCAACTATTTCCTATAGCTTCTTGAAAAAAAGTGACATGGTGACATTTCCTTATCAGGCAATCAAAATTTTACTTTGATATGTTATGCTAATTTATCATGGAATAAAAAGGCCATTTACATAATTTAAATGCAGGAAAAAGTTTCACTATGGAGACCCTGTCCTGAGAATTATAAGCTTTGGGGGTTATTTAGAGATTTTTAGGTCATGAGACTGTCATGGCTCAATTTCAGTGCATCATAATAGAGCAATTTAAAATGACTATGTTTTTAATCTTTCAGGATCTAGAAGATTTGATTAAAGCCAAAGAAAAAGAGGTGGAGAAGATTGAACAGAGTGGACTTGCTTTGATTCAGGACAAGAAAGAAGAAGTGTCTGGTGCTGTCGTGAGCACGCTGCGGGAGCTCAGGCAAACCTGGGCGCATTTAGACCACATGGTAATGTTAATGTTGTGAGCGCTGGCTCCAAGCCCGGCTTGCCATGTCACGCTCATGACCTGCTGTTGGTTTTCCTAAAGTAACTGAGTAATTAATATGAATATGTACATCAACTCTTAAATTGATTTCAAAGAGAGAGGGAGAGGGAGAGAGAGAAACAGCAATAATTAGAGAATCATTGATCTGCTGCCTCCTGCATGCCCCCTACTGGAGATTGAACCCCCAATTCGTGCATGTTCCCTGACCAGGAATTGAACCATGACGTCCTGATTCATAGGTCAGTGCTTAACCATTGAGCAACACGGGCCAGGCTATTAACCTCTTTTTTTTTTTTAAAGTCTAGCTTCAGATCTTTTCTATAATAAATATACAATAACCTCATTCATTTCCATGTTCATAGACACCATTTAGGCACACACATTTCTCCGATGTGTATCCCCAGCCCAGATTTCTCTCCTAAAATCTAGATAGAGACGGAGGCTGGGGTCGAGAGAGAACCCAATGTGTAGACGTCTCCTCTTGCATGACCAGTAGACATCTCAAATTCCCGTGTCCAAACCACCTCCTATCCCCACCCCCCACCTACACTCTCCCCCCATCGCAGACAATGACAACTCTAACCTTCCAGTTGTTCGGGCAGAAAACCGTAGGGTCATCCTTCACTCCTGTCTTCCTGTCATACCCCACATCCAGCCCATCAGCAAACAGGTCAGGTGTATTTTCAGACTCCAAGCTCTGCCCTGTCCCTGCACTTAGCACCCAGGCCCCTGTCATCACGACCACTCACCGTGAGGTTGTCAGTGACCTCCTCAGTAGCCTCCTTGCCAGAGAGGTCCTGTTCAGATGGAGGCCAGATCACAGCAGTCCTCAGCTCAAACCCTCCATTAGCTTCTCGTCTCATTTAGAATGAGGACAAAACCTGGTGAGGACCTGAAGGCCCACGTGACCCGGCCTCCAGGGTCCCTCTGACCTCGTCTCCGGCAGCTGTCTGTCCTGCAGGCTCATTTGGCTTCTGTTCTCCCCCTGCTCTTGAACTCTACAGGCCTGGCCTACATTCAGGGACTTTGCACTGGCTGTGTCCTTCACCTGGAACACCACACCCGCTCCTCAGTATCCACCAGGTCACTCCCTACCCTCTCCTCAGCATCCACCAGGTCACTCCCTACCCTCTCGTCAGTATCCACCAGGTCACTTCCTTTCCTCAAAGTCTTTCTTCAAATTTTCCATCTCAGTGTGGGCTTTCCTGACCCCCGCCCCCCCATACTCCCTGACTCTCTCCTTTGCTCTGCCTTTATTTCTATTATTTCTCAACTTCTAACATGTGGTATAGTCTACTTCTCTGTTCATATTTCTCCCACTGAAACATAGCTCCATGAGACACTTGATAAATATAAGCTGAATGGAGTGTTGAATCCTCTGAAAGAAGAATACACGTCAAAGCAAATACTGTTCTGCACGCAAATAGTTATTATCCACACTTCACAGAGGCAGGCGCTGCAGCACCGGCAGGACAGTGAGTGAGACCAGCGGCCCAGCAAGCAGCTGCTTACAGCCTGTGTGCTCTCCTCCCAGTTCAGCGGGGCAGTTTTCCCTTCCCTTAGTTTCAACCTGATTTTTAATTCACTTTTTTGTATATTTTTATAAGTTTACTATCTTTTTATTTATTTATATATTTTTATTGATTTCAGAGAGTAAGAGAGAGGGAGAGAGAGATAGAAACATCAATGATGAGAGGGAATTGTTGATCAGCCGCCTCCTGCATGCCCTACACTGGGGATCAAGCTCACAACCCGGGCATGTGCCCTGACCAGGTATTGAACCGTGTCCTTCTGGTTCATAGGTCAGCATTCAACCACTGAGCCACACTGGCTGGCCTATATGTATTTTTATAAATCATCACAAATTCTTGGAAACAATTTACCATATAAATAAATTAAGGGATTCTTAGAAACATCATCTCAAGCATAACACAAAGAAGAACTAGACTCCTTAAAAATTCTCATTTCCTCCTGGCTTTATTTTCCTGTCTCTTCCTGACTTTCTTGGGCTGGGCCCTGGGACCTGTCTGCACCTGTGGGCATTGCCTCATCTCTGAGGCAGCACCTTCTTAGTCCGTGGGCCCATTAGGTGGTATCTCAATTGGCTTCAACATTATTTTTTATGCTAAGAAAAAAAGCAGAGTGTGCAGGTACAAATTAATGTATTATATAATCTACTAGACGCCTGGTGCACGAAATTCATGCAAGAATAGGCCTTCCTTCCCCCAACTGCCAGCACTGGCTTCCCTCCCAGCCCTGGCTCTGTCCAGAAGGTCGTCTGGCCTAATTAGCATGTTATGCTTTTATTATTATAGATTTTCTTAATTATGGTCATAGTTCCTCCATATTGAAAAGGTTGCATTCAGAAGATTGGGGCTGACATCCAGGAAGTCCAAGGCAGATATCTTTCTAAATGATACAGACAAACTAAAAACTTAACTTTTCTGTTGCAGATAAGTATGGGGGGAAGTGTTCTGAGAAGTTTTTGTCTCAAGATACTCATTTGTGCGTGTGTGTGCACATATGTGAGATAGATAGATAGACTGATAAGTATCATTTCCTGGGACCAGATTTGCCTTGTTTCAAATATAGACTTCTCACATTCTAGCAGCATGATCCCAGGTGATTTTCATAACATCTTTGTGCCTCAGTTTCCTCATCTGTGAGACGGGGATGATGTTATCTACCTCATAAAGTTGTTATGAAGACTAAAGTTAATGCATTAGTCAAAACACTCATTTTCTAAACTGTAGTATTAAATATATTGGCTTTTTATCACTTTTATATATGTTACATATAAAGATTATGTATAAAACCTTTTCAAGAATTTTGATTTAGTCCTAACCGGTTTGGCTCAGTGGATAGAGCGTCGGCCTGCGGACTGAAAGGTCCCAGGTTCAATTCCGTCAAGAGCATGTACCTTGGTTGTAGGCACATTCCCAGTAGGGGGTGTGCAGGAGGCAGCTGATTGATGTTTCTCTCTCATCGATGTTTCTAACTCTCTATCTTTCTCCCTTCCTCTCTGCAAAAAATCAATAAAACATTTTAAAAAAAGAATTTTGATTTAGACTGAGTGTTCAAAAGTAGGAGAGGCATCAGTTTCAACATTGTTATATCTTATGTTTGAAATCTTTTGTGTTTGAGTTCATTTATAATACCTGCAACCCTGATAAAGTTCTTCAATATTAATTTTTCCCACCCATTGAACACATGTTTTGTAATGTTAAGTGTGATGCAGTTGTGAGACGTGTCTTTCTCTTTGAACAGGCTGGGCAGTTAAAGGTACTGCTGAGGTCCGTGCATGACCAGTGGAGCCAGCACAAGGCGGCCTCCGATGAGATCAACAGCGGCCTCCTGGAGGCCAGGTACTCCCTCTCCCGCTTCCGCCTGCTGGTCGGCTCCGTGGAAGCTGTGCAAGTGCAGGTAGACAACCTTCAGGTAAGGACTGAGCTCATCCTGCCCTGAACATGCTTTTGAATTTGAGAAAATAAAATAGCAAATGTGGACATCATCCTGGAATATTGCTGTCTATTGCTTACATTTAATTATTTTTGAAATGTTTAAATAATTTTACCTGCAGATATCTCTAAACGATACAGACAAACTAAAAACTTAATTTGTTCCTCATCCAAACTTGCCTGTGGATACCGAATTCTGGATTAACGGTATCTAATGAAATGACTTTTAATTCTAACATGTAAATATCCACCTGAATATATTTTGTAAAATGATTTTTATACCCAAATCTATCTCCTTGATCCATGTCGCTGCCTTCTCTGTCTTCCCTTTTCTCTTTTTATCCTGCTTCTCCAAACATATGCTCAGGGATTAAAAAGACAGCAAAGAGAAAAATAGCAAAAGTGGTAAATTTTTAAACTACTGTTTTCCTTTTATTTAGCATAATATCTGTGGTCTGCCCAGTGTGTACACATATCCTCTGTTTTTGGCACCGGCTGCTTCATTTCCTGTGTCATTATCATTGCATTCATCTCGAGTGGCATCGTGGCATCGTTGCTGTTTGACTTAAACACAGCACCCCTCCTAGCTCAGGCCACTTCCCTCAGATTAGCTGCTGCCCCCACTTCCTGGCACATCTGGGCACTGGACACCCCACCTGTCACTGCTCTTTGTCCCCGGCTACTTAATGCAGACTATGGGGTGGCACGGCAGGCCCTCAAGGGGTGGGATGCCAGCAAGGGCCCAGCATGTATCTCCTTGGTTTGGAGATCAACATGTGTATGCTGCTAACCTCATAGGCAGGCTTTCTGAAGGGCATACCTTTGGGGAGGGGGGGGGCTGGGCAGTCAGGAAGAAGGATAACATGTGTCTATATAATGTATTTGAAACTTAAATTCTTGTTGCAGATGCTAAGAATCATTTAAAGTTATTTTGAGAATAGTAAGTTTAAAAGCACATTTTAAAACTTTGAGGAGGTTATAAGGACTTTTTAACTTAGCCTTGTCTGTGTTGAACACCTGCAAATGCTCTCTTAAGGTATGAAAGAATCCAGGGTCTTTACTTTGCATATTTTGAATCGATGGCCATCAGATACCAGTGTTAAATAGGACTGGACTTTGTAGCCTCCGTCACGTATGGAGATGTACTAAGAATCGAGACCATCACTTAGTTGCACGGAGAACTGAGACTCTCAGTAATACTTGCATATAAAGCATTGCAGCCACTGTCTCTATATTCATATGTGCATATTCATGAAAGCAGCTACAAATTACTTTTAGACTTCGTTTTTAGCATTTAGACCTAAAAACTGCTATTTTATCTGTGGTATTTTTTCTCTGGGCAGAATCTTCAAGATGATCTAGAGAAACAGGAAAAGAGCTTACAGAAATTTGACTCTGTCACCAACCAGCTGATAAGACAGTGTCACCCACCTGTGACAGAAACTCTCACCAGCACCTTAAAGGAAGTCACCATGAGGTATGGCGCTTGCTCACTTGACACTGTGATGCACTGCGTACAGCACAACCACATTGTAAGCGGTGACGCAATGAAAACTTGTGAGCGTTTTGAATTTGGGCTTTGCAGATTTTATTCCACTTGCGCTTTAATTCTGACAACATGAAGCTAATGGTAAGTAAAAGCAGGGAAGATGTTTAGAGAGAAATTAGAACTGCTCTGTACCCAGAGATGGGCCTCATTCCCGCAGGCTCCCCCTGGGGTGGCTGTGACAGGCTCCTTTTTATGATGTGCAATAGAAATGAGACATCCTTGCATGCCTTCCAAATGCGCATGACGCAGGATCATGAAACATAAAACAGCAAGTCAGAGCCTTTGGCGCGAGGGGGAGGTCTACCCACGCGTGTTGGGTCTCGTTTCCAGATGGAACAACTTGCTGGAGGAGGTGGCGGAGCAGCTGCAGGCCAGCAGGGCCCTCCTGCAGCTGTGGCGGCGGCACCGGGACTACTCGGCGCAGTGCGCCTCGGCGGTCCAGCAGCAGGCGGGCCGCACCCAGGAGCTGCTGAAGGCAGTCGCCAGCAGGGACATCGCCGATGACGAAGTGGCTACGTGGGTTCACGATTGCAGTGTACGTTCCGGCACGATCATGGTCTGTTTCCCAAACATGCCTTTCGTAGACTTCTCCAGTTTGGCAGGGCGAGTGCTGATGTGGGTAAGCCTTTGGTATGTCTCAGTAGGTGAGACGATGATCCCCAAAGAGTTGTTTTAATCAAGGAGCCTGCTAGGTTTTCAGAACACATGCATCGGATTTTAAAGGCCCCTCTCATTATTCCATTTATCTATCTATCTATCTATCTATCTATCTATCTATCTATAGGGAGGGAGAGACAGAAACATCAATGATGAAAGAGAATCATTGATCAGCTGCCTCCTGCACGCCCCCTACTGGGGATTGACTCGAAACCAGGGCATGTGCCTTTGACCGGAATCAACCCCCAGATCCTTCAGTCCACAGGCTAACGCTCTATCCACTGAGCCAAACTGGCTAAGGCTCATTTTTCCATTGAAAACAATGAGTTGTTTTCCCATTTTTCTTAGTGGAATGCAGTCCATGTGAACGATTCAAGCTGTTTCTACAGAGATGGTCAATATAAGAAATGACCATATGGAGAATAATGGTATATCTTTTAAAAATCTATGTTAAAGGTTTCATCCAGTTTGGTTCATTATCTTTTACATAAACATCAACATAATGCCTTCTAAGAATTTAATGGCACAAAGAAGCCTTTATCTCCTGATTTATGGGTGTATTCTTCTTAATAGCTCTCTAATAGTTCAGTTTTTCACTGTATCTGCCAATAACCTACTTAAGGTTTTCGGGAACAGTTCTCTTGATTCCCGCAGTTCATGGCTCTTACTATTTGTCCTTTTTTGTCTTTAATGAATTTGTTTCAAATATCTTCTTACAAACTTTTCCACTTAGTTTATCAGAATTAGGCAAGTTATAAAAAGCACATAAATAAAAGTTTAACCTAGTCTAATACGTTTACATTAATAACAAATCATCACGTGAAAGCTAAAGTTGAATATGTATGGTGAATATAGTTCTCCTGCTTTTTCTCCGTCTACTGAGGGTTTATCCTTAACAAGATTTGTCATTTTCAATATTCAGCCCTCCGAGTGGAGATACACCTGTTTTAGAGTGCAGTGCTCCCAGTTGTGCCTTTATCTGATAGCCATGTCAAGGGTCAAGTCGCCCTTTGCTTTTCTTCCTCTCACAGTAGGCCCTGCGTGTGTATACGCAGGCTCTTCTCTCTCCTCCATGTCTGGTGGGGCACCAGCAGCAAGTAGAAGAGTCAGTCATGTGTCATCGCTTAGGGCAGTGATGGCGAACCTATGACACGCGTGTCAGAGGTGACACGCGAACTCATTTTTTTGGTTGATTTTTCTTTGTTAAATGGCATTTAAATATATAAAATAAATATCAAAAATATAAGTCTTTGTTTTACTATGGTTGCAAATATCAAAAAATTTCTATATGTGACACGGCACCAGAGTTAAGTTAGGGTTTTTCAAAATGCTGACACGCCGAGCTCTAAAGGTTCGCCATCACTGGCTTAGTGGTAGACGGAAACCAGAAACTGGATTTCCACTGGCTTATCATTCTGAGCATAAAAGGTGGAGGCAAGAGCTACCATGGAAAATCCTGGAAGTGCAGCTCACCCCTAGCCCTGGGTACCAGAACCATTGTGAGGGTTCCACAGTCCCACTGAGATAGGCGGGTATGTCACAACCACTGTACCTCGACCACCCACCCTACAGATGATGCTGTGGATAAACTCATCTCTTGGGTCTATAACGCTAAGTAGAAAGAGATAAAATGTGGCGCTGTGTTTTCAATTTGACATCAATTATATGAAGAAGCAAGAAAAAACTGTCCACTGTTGCAGTTATTGGCTCTACTTGTAGACTTGTTTTTCTTGTTTATGTATGTTTTGCTGCATTCCCCTGTGTTCTACAGTAAAAGTCGCTGTGGCTTTTATGATCAGAACTAGAGGCCTGATGCACGAAATTCACAATAATTAACATATTACGTTTTTATCATTATAGATAGTAAATGCGTTCTAAAAATTTTTAATCCACATGAGTTCTTGCTAGACAGCACGCAATCCCACACCATACATTATCTGGAGAGCTTCAGTTTTAAGTCTTTGGCCCCAGCCCCAATGTTGGTGACCATCAACTGAGAAAGCATTCTGCTTTCAGCCCTCTGTCCTCCCTTCAGTCCCAGGACACAGCTGCCTCTTCTGGGTTGCCTGTGGGCATTCGCAGCCCCGGCTAGGAAACCAGCCACAGGAAGGAGAAAATGCCAGGACATTTGGCTGTGTGTGCCTTTGGATTGATTAGTGGGGTGTGGAACCCTGGCGATGGTTCTGGTGCGCAGGGCTAGGGGTGAGCTGCACTTCCAGTATTTTCCATGGCATCTCTTGCCTCCACCTTTTATGCTCAGAATTATAAGCCAGTGGAAATTGAATTTACAAATTGGACTCAATTCTTGATTATTTTTCCTTCATTTAAAGGTGATTTCGTGTAATAACTTGACAGATAAGAATGGGGTGTTTCTACATGTGTGGCCCTTCGCTGATTGTTTGTTATATGGACTACACTTAGCATGTGGTTTCATGACGGGCGTGTTTTCATCTTCCACAGGACCTCCTCAGAGGTCTGGGCACCGTTAAGGATTCCCTGTTTGTTCTCCATGAGCTGGGGGAGCAACTCAAGCAGCAGGTGGATGCTTCCGCAGCAGCAGCCATTCACTCGGACCAGCTGTCTCTGAGTCAACACTTGTGTGCCCTGGAGCAGGCTCTTTGCAAACAGCAGGCCGTGTTACAGGTACAGCTCACATTCGGCCTGTGTTGTCAGTGGGTGTTCTGTAGCTCCTGAGCATAAACCCAGGAAAAGAAGATTTTTCATCATTCAGACACTGCCTCCTTCAAGACCAAAGGATAAAAATATAAACAAACTTGGCATTTTCAGTGGGAATAAGGAAAGGCGGGAGTTTTACCCTATTCTTTACAAAGTAATTGTGCCCTTAAACTGTGCTTTCTTCCGTGGCACTGAGTAAAATATGTTCAGTTAATAACACTAAGTCGCTTAATATTAAAATTCATAAGTTTTTGCAAGCATCAGAATATATTTCAGTTTGGTAATATATTTTAAGAGTGACTCTAACCGGGTAATTCTACATAGAAGTAACACATTCTAGGTTTTAAAAAATTGTATTATTAAAAAGAAGAAAATGTAAAATCATTGTAGCCTTGTCTGTCCAGTTGCAATTAGACAATAGACTATGAGAAATGATTTCAGTCTCCTTGTCCTTTCACTAGATTTCTAACTATTCATTTTCTTTCGTAATGAAAAGGCTGGAGTTCTTGACTATGAAACCTTTACCAAGAGTTTAGAAGCTTTGGAGGCCTGGATAGTAGAAGCTGAAGAAATACTTCAAGGGCAGGACCCCAGCCACTCATCTGACCTCTCGACCATCCAGGAGAGGATGGAAGAACTGAAGGCAAGTGTGTGGAAATCCTCATCCCAGACCTTCCATCTTCCCTCCTCCAGACCTTAAGGAAAACTCAAAACTTTGGACATAGGCCTTTTTATTTTGAGTTGATTCCTTCTCCAGGGTGATGAGCCTTTTGCAGAGCACGCAAAGGGAAAGCACACGCAGCCAAATGTCCTGGCATTTTCTCCTTCCTGTGGCTGGTTTCCCGGATGCCCACAGGCAGACCAGAAGAGGCAGCCGTGTCCTGGGATGAAGGGAGGACAGAGGGCTGAAAGCATAGATTGCTTTCTCAGTTGATGGTCACCAACATCGGGGCTGGGGCCAAAGTCCTAAAACTGAAGCTCTTCAGATACTGTGTGGAGTGGGATAGTGTGCCATCTAGCAAGAACCCAACAACTCTTGCTTACGTAGCTCTTCCCCTTTGTTGCTGGGTGACTCTGAGCTTCTGGGCCTCTTTTTCCTCATGGTAAAGTGGGGATTGTAGTGTAGTACCTAACGGGGTTGTTTTGAGGCTAAAAATGAGTTATTGTATTACCTGTAAAGCTCTTATAACAATGCTTAGTTCAGATAAGTGCTCAATAAATGTTAATTATTATTACTATCACTATTATTATTAAATAATAAAGGGACAGATTAGCAAAGATAAATGAACTATAGAGGTAAGAAGTAAGCCTTCTGAGCCATCAGCATAATTTTCATTATCAGTTCTATGAAGAATTACTTTTTATTCGTAAATGAATCCAGTCAATAATACACGTAACTACTTACTGTTCCCCAAGGGTGGTGAGTAGCAATAGCCAAGTGACAGTGGCAGCCCCGGATGCAGACTGGAAGGTGCAGCTTTTCTTTATCTGCAGCTCTCGCGATGGCAAGCAGGTGGCCCAGAAATGCCCAGGAGAACAACAGCCGGCCTCTTGCTGAAATCCAAGTTCACTGAGCACTTGGAAAGCTGCCTCCTCTTTCTGACCACGGTGCTAAACCCGCTCTTAAATCTCGCTTTCAGGGACAGATGTTAAAATTCAGCAGCATGGCCCCAGATTTAGACCGTCTGAATGAGCTTGGCTACAGGCTACCCCTGAATGACAAGGAAATCAAAAGGATGCAGAGTCTGAACCGGCACTGGTCTCTCATCTCCTCTCAGACCACAGAGAGATTCAGGTAGAGTCTCCAAGAGATGTTTTGGCGGCTGTGACATGTCAATAGAAACCAGTTCATGATCGGTGTGCAGTTATAAAGCCTAGGTCTTTCCGATGTACAAAATTGGAACTAAAAGTAAGAAGCTCAAATTGTGCTTTCCCATGTTTAATGTACTAAATATTTTTTTAATCAAAAAATTGCAAGCCCTTTTACAGAACAATATATTAAGATGCATCATCATATCATTCTTAAAACTTACCATCTTAAACTTTTTTTCCAATTTTGTTTTCTAAATTTTACTACCTAACGTGAAAGGTTTGTGATAGTCAAATTAGAATCAGAGGCAGAAATTATTTAATCTTGTTTTATATGCCAAAGATAGAAGAATAAGCAACAACATAGCCACTATTCTCTTTCCTTTATTCTGTCAGTAAGTTGCAGTCATTTTTGCTACAACATCAGACTTTCTTGGAAAAGTGCGAAACATGGATGGAATTCCTGGTTCAGACGGAGCAAAAATTAGCCGTCGAGATTTCAGGCAATTATCAGCATCTTCTGGAGCAGCAGAGGGCCCATGAGGTGAGTTATGCCAGTAGATTAGGGGCAGTTAATAGGCCTTTGGAAGATGCTACAAAATGCCATGTGGGGGAATTAAAAGGCAGAGTCTTGTGCTGAGTTTGCTAAATGCACGCACTGTTTTTGCCTTCTTTCTTTTGATGGCTTAATTCCCAAACTGTAGCCCACGCTTTGCCCCATCGTTGGTTATAAGCTGATGGCCGGCTTCCATACCCTGCACTGGATAGCGTCACAATTGTGGTCAAGATCTACTTACAGGGGTGGGGAGGGGAGGCAGGCAGCATTGTGGAAGGAGTTCAGAAAGTTGGATTCAATTTTCAAATTGAGTTACAGACTCCATTAATATTGCCAAGGCTAGTTGTTATAGAGATTCTGCTTTGGTAAGTCTTAGATAAAGGAAAATTGTGTGTTCTTTAAAAAGCATATATGCGTTTTATACTAGGGAATCAACCTACCAAAACCTCCAAGTGCACCTCTTGACCAGATTATATTCTATTTTTTAAGAAACACTGATAGAAAACTAGATACAAAACCCAAATTAGTTATTTTGCTGTGGGCCTCTATTTTGCTATTTACTGCTGCGACTGAGTTGTTCCATGTATTTATAAAATATATGCAAATGGGGAGATAGGATTTACCTACAAGCAGAGAAAAGGCTTAATGCAGAATTTAAAAGAGAATAAAATGAATTTTGAAGCATTTTGTTTCGCATTTAAGAAATCAAGAATTTAAATACGTGTAAGGTATTTTTAAGTCCATTTTTATTGATTTGACTGACGAGGAAATAAAATACAGTGAATGAAATCTGCAATGAGATACCCCTTTACACCCACTAGAATGGCTACAATGGAACAGATCAATGTTGATGAGGGAGGGAATAGAGAACCTGGAATCCTTACCCATTGCTGATAGGAATTGAAAATAGTGAAGCTGTTTTGGAAAACAGTGTGGGAGTTCCTCCTAGTGTTCAACATAGAGTTATCATGTGACCCTGTATCTCCACTCCTGGGTGGAATCATCCAGGAAAAAGGAAACTATACATCCACACATATATCCATCTGGTCAAAAGCTTGTACAAGAATATTGTTTATAGTGGCATTATTCATAGTAGCCAAGAAGTGGAAGCAACTCAGATATCCACCAACTGAAGAATAAATAAATAAAATGTGGTATCTTTATACAGTGGAATACTACTCGGCAATAAAAAGGAAATGCTTTGTTGACATATATTGCAAAATGGATCAGACTTGAAAATATAATGCTAAGGGAACAGAAGCCAATAACAAAAGACAGCACGCTGCATAAGTCCATTGATATGAAATGTCAAGATGAAAAATAGGTTTGAGGTTACTTAGAGGTGGGGATTGAGAGGAAATGGGGAGTGATTCTTAATGAGCATGAAGTCCTTTTCGGGGTAATGAAAATGGTCTAAGATTTATTGTGGTATTGGTTGCACAAGTCTGCAAATATAATAAAAATCATTAAATTACACACTTTCAATAGGTGAATTATATGGTATGTGAATTATATCTCAATAAACCTGTTTAAACAACAATTGGAAAAAAAGGTTGGAATCGTCTCTGTTGAATTTTTCAGTATTGAAATAATTTTATTAACCCAATTAAACTGAAAAATAGTGAGTTCCAAAAAAAGTCTCTTTTATTTTTCACTCTTCAACTTCTTAAAAGGTCGTAAGCTAGTCTCTGTATGAAACCATACTCTGCATACAGAAAGATCTGGAATACAATTTATGTGCTAACCAACTTTATAGGTGATTTCAAAAGAAAGGAGAGGAACATAATTCTACTTTTAGTCAGTTTTGGTAAACAGAAATTAAACTTTAAGGCTATCCTAATTGATGGTTTACAACTACGTTATTTCTACACTGCAGGATAAAACAAGTATCCCGACTCAGCTGGAGATATTTTTCATAATCTTGCTTAAATCAGAACTTTTGGAAACTTATTAGAGAATGGGACATTAAAATTAGAAACTCTAAATTATGTGTTTTTTTGTGTTTTTTAATAACAGTTGTTTCAAGCAGAGATGTTCAGTCGTCAACAGGTTTTGCACTCGATCATTACTGATGGGCAGCGTCTTCTGGAACAAGGTCAAGTTGATGACAGGTAGGACCTTTGATATATTATTATGAAGAAAGGTTCCAGTAAATTAGTCATTTTCTTTCTAATGAGCAGATTAGAAGGCATATATCCAAGGCAATTGTACTGCAGCAGAACCTCCGTAATTGGAGGAGAGGCTTCTATGAATCTCTGAAATGACTGAGGATTGAATCTTTTTAAAGAACCGCTATTATATGATATGAAGGACGTATCGTAATTGGAAATCACTTAGCTATTCGTCTGTAGGAGACTGGGATTAATAAATAGATCAGAATGAATTGTATCAATGAGGCATCAATGGTTTATAAACATATGCTTCTCATAGTCTCATATGATTACAGACATTTTATTCCTAAAAGGAGCACAGAGATGGTTAGACCATCCCTCTAACTTACAGATGAAAACTTGAGGCCCAGAAATGTGAACTGATTGGACCAAGGCCACAGAACGGAACTACGTAACACAGAATCGAGCCTAGAACTGGAGTATCTGGTTTTTAGTCGAGAACAGCCAGCTTTCTCATACCTTGCTAACTCCACCAGATTTGAAAACAGTGGGCTGCCTTAGATCAGATTACACGCAGCCTGCTTCCTCTTGGTATACTTAGCAGATTCTTTATTTAAAATGCA